GGTTAAGGCAGCTGGATCCCACAGAGATGACTACAGGTTCAAGCCCGGGATCTGGTGGCTTGAAAAATCCATTGGGCATATGTGCACGTATGCCCAAAACCCTGAGGAGAATGTAGGGGGGATGCCTACATGGCCATCCTCCCCAACCCCCACCATCTCTGTCTGGCAAGCACATGTGCCCTATAGCAAAACTGAAAATAAGTAAATTAAATAAATGATTGTATATTTTCGAAAGTATTTTGTTTGTTTTTTAAGATGTTTTTGCTATAGGGCATATTCACTCACCAGAGAGACAGAGAGATGGAAAATGAGAAATCACCCCTTAGAAGGATGGCCATACCACAATCCCGTCTCCATTCTCGTCTTGGAGTGGGTTTCAAGGCACCCGGTCCAGGATTATGGCTGGTCATGTGGGCGTCCAGCACTTTAACCACTACGCCACCTGCTGGCACCCAAAAGTTTTTAAAGAGAAGATTTCATGTTTAGATTTCTAGAAAAATCTGTCAGAAATGTACTTAAAGTGAAAAATAACTGTTGGGCCAGCGAGTGGTGGGGCGGTTGGGATGCTGGCCTTCCACGTGGCCAACTACAGTTCAAGGCCCGGGTCCAGTGGCTTGGAACTCACACCAGGCATGTGTGCATGTGTGCCCAGGATCCCAAGATGAGCATGGAGGAGAAGGGATTGTGGAGGGCACCCCCCCACCCAGGGAGGTGATTTTTCACTTTCCCTCTCAGTCTCTTTCTGACCCTCTTTCTGACCCTTTCATGCCCTATGGCAAAAACCTTTAAAAAAAAAAAAGGGAAAAAAAATTTGTTATTTCCCAAGGAAAAAGTCTTACATCATTTATTCATTGACAATTACATATTGAGTGCCAACTATAAGAGGCTCTTCAAAAGAGTTAAAGAGACCAGGACTCCAAGATGGCGTCAGTCGTACCAGTAAAGGAAAAGAAACTCATGGCTGTCAAACTCAGGGAGCTGCCAAGCTGGATACTGATGCGGGATTTTACCCCTAAAGGCATTGCTGGAGCGTTTCAGAGAGGTTACTACCGGTATTACAAGTACGTCAACGTGAACGTAAGAAAGGGGGCGTTGCTGGGGTTTCTATGGTGCTGGCCACTTATGTGCTCTTCAGCGACTGCCTTTCCTATAAGGAACTCAAACACTGAGCAGTGACGTAAATACCACTGAAGAGGGCCCGCATGAAGGGCATCACTGAACCAGGCTTCATCTCCTTGGCTTGGCACCCCTCCAAAGGATCTAGTTGAGGACTTTCATATCCCAGTCGAGAATTCACATCCAATAAAAGATGACTGGTATATGTAAAAAAAACAAAAGGGTACTCCTCAGTGGACAGTTTTTAGAATGTTTGGTTTGGAGAATATAATAAGCATAAAACTAATTATAATTCAAAGCATAGTACATAATAATAGTAATTAACATCTATTAATGTAGTGGTTAAGAGTTTCTGGAATCATACTATATAGGTTCAAATTCCAGCTGTGTAAAGTTGGCTAAGTCATTTAACCTGTTCAAGTACTACTACTCTGCCTGTAATGAGGATAATACCACTTACCTAGCAGGACTATCATATCAGCACATTTTTAAAATGCAGTAACTGGGGCCAGCAGGTGGCATGGCGGGTGAGGTGCTGGACTCCCACAAGGCCGACCAGGGTTTGAGTCTCAGACCTGGCAGCTTATTTCTCACTCTCTCTCTCTTCTCTCTGGTGAGTGCATGTGTCCTGTAGCAAATTTAAAAACAATAATAATGGGGACCAGGAAGTGGTGTGACGGTTAAGGGCACTGGATTCCCACATGGCTGACTCTGGTTCAAGTCCCAGACCTAGTGGTTGGTTTTTTCACTTTCCCTTTCTCTCTCTCTGGTCAAATTAAAAAATAATAACAACAAACGGAATAAAATAAATCTTAAAATAATGACAAATAAAAATTAAGTCAATAATTCTTTTTTAAAAAATGCAGTATCTAACATTTACCGAATACTCTGTATGTGCCAAGCACTGTGTTAAATGCTTATGTGTATGTTACTTCACATAATCTCCACAGTACTGTTTATACCCATTTTACACATAAGGCAACTGAAGGGCAGGGAATTTAAGTGACTTACCCAAGAATACATAGCTAATAAATGCAAATGCCATAAGTAAGACACAACCACCTATAAAATTGGGAGGATAATAGTACTTAGCTTAATGCGAATCAAATTAGTATTTGAAAAGTGCTAAGAACATAGCTTAGTACATAATAATGCTTCCATACATGAATGTGTATAGAATAAATACAAATTGCTATGGTGCTATGCATGAGCCCTATGGCAAAAACATAAAAAGGGGTATTTCAGTTAAAAGAGATAAGAGAGGGAGGGAAGCAAGAGTGAAACAAAGTTTAGTATAAAAAATAATAAAGGAAGTACAGTTTGATGAGGGCAAGTAATATTCCCCTCGCTCCAGCCAGGTAGGTTCCTGCCAGTGTACTTCCTCTAGGTATGTCTTACCATTTTCCTCTTGTGCCCCTAGAATCTGCTGTCCTGACCCCATCATAATCATCCACTGAACAGTAGTTACTGAGTGCCTCTTTGTATCTGCACTGCTCACGGTATTCAGGGTACTCCTCGGTGGACAGGCCAGGTCCCAGGTCCTATCTGCGCTGTAACATTTCTCTAAACTGTATTTCCAGCTGTGGGGTGGTCCCGCTCCAACCCAGCCTCCATACTGTCGGCAGAGAAACCGGAAAGACACAATCTAGCCCAGACACCACCCTGCTTATTACGAACTCCCTTCAGTATCTGCCAACCTTACCCAGGATAAATCTCTCGCCAGGGGCCCTCCACTAAGTGGCCCGCACAACCGTGTCTCCCGGCCTTGGCCTCCATGCGCTCTGCACTTGAACCACAGCAGAACACTCAAAATCGGAGCTCCACACACGTACGAATAATGACGCGCTTGCTGAAAGAACGTGGCTAGCAGCCCGTCCCTACTCCACCCGTGCACACCGACGCCACCCCTCGGCGTGCCTTCAACGGGAAACCTAGCACGTGCCCTGCTCCGGCCTCGGAGCCCTCGGGGCGCGCACGGCCCTGCCGCCCCGCCTCCCTCCACAGCGCGTTCCCCGACGCCCGGGGCG